AGGTCTCCTGCATTGCAGGCCAACTCTTTTACCATCTGAGCTACAGGGAAGATCTTTTCTGCACACTATGAGCTAATAAATAGAAAACTGATTTTCTTCCCTGGGCAGCTTTGCACATACTCAGGTGTCAGACCAAAAGGCGACCATCTCCCCTCACCTGTTGACCAGTGAGCTGAGACTGTTTTATGGGGAGCGTTGCTGGTTTCAGGAAAGAACCGTGGCAGGGTTAAGTCATCTCTATCGGCCTTCACGAGATCCTCCTCACACCNCCCCCCCCCCCCCCAGCAGCTGGACTCGAGGCAGGGTTTTGCGCTGTCCACCAAGCCCATTCAGAGACTTTTAGCCCGAGAGGCTTACCAACACCTCAGGCTATGCACATTTAGTGCGCATCTCCGGAGACAAAAGCATTTAAAGTGCGAGGCGTGTTATTTTCATGATAGCCGTGGCTGGTTTTCTTACTTGGTACAGGGCCGTTCTAAGAGCGTCGGGATTTTAGCTCGTTTATTCTTCATAGTACAGGGGGTATTACTACTGCCCCCACTTTATAGATAAGGAAACCGAGCAATATCGAGGTTTAGTAAGTTGTCGATGGTGGAGCTCGGGTTGGAGCTCAGCGGGTAGTAACCATGCTTTAATCTACATATTGCAATCTGCTGCTTTTGTAGAATGACCCAGAGTTGATTGGCCCAGGCCATTCTTGAGAGAGAGAGCAGTTAAGACAGAGGTGGACCGCGGGTCTTGGATCACCCCTCCCCAGATAATGACAGTACCGGAAAACCCGAGCAGGGAAGCCCCAGCGTCAAAGCTGAGCCTCCGGTCTCACGGACCATCACTGCCTCAGAGTCACTTACACAGGGCAAGGGATCCCTTACCTGAGTCTCCGAGGTCTCAAGGCTCAAGGGCTGATGTGTGGGTTCTGGCCGCCGAGTTCACCTCGCCAGCTCGTTTCCCCAGGACACGGGGCCCAGAGTGAGAAGGGCCGGGCCTGGGATCGCGGATAGATACCAGGTGACAGGAAGTCAGGGGCTTCTGCTACCTTGGGCTCTGCCCCGACGGCTTGAGTTTAATACACGGTTATGAGAGCCGGAGGATATACAAAAAAGTTCCTGCCGTACCAGGAGGTTTCACTTCTTGAAAAAGACCCCAGGGGACGGCCAGGCGTACTTCACGCCGCCTTAATTAGAAGAACTGTGCACCCCCGCCCTGTGAGCAGGTGTGGGTGGTAGGTCCCCAAGGGCAAGAGGGGCTCTAGAAGTCCTCCCAAGGAGGGCTGTTGGGACTCCTACCTTTTCCCGGCTGCTTTTCGGAGGGGGCAGGTGGGAAGGAGGCGTCCGCGCAGAGCGATGCGAGGATCGCTCAGCCCTTGCAGGGGAAGAGGTGTGTGTGCCCTCCTCACCCTCGTTTGCCCACACGTAGAGTTCTGGTGGGACCTCGTGTGTCTCACGTTGAATTTAGTAGAAATGGCCTAAGAATATTGAACGTGCCCCCAGAAGCTCGAGGGGAGAGTTCCACGTTTGCGGGTGTCATTGAAACAGCGCTCTTACCTACATGCTCGCCCTTCCCCTCCATCTGTCTAGCCCCCTGCATGCCGTCTCCCTGCAGGAGGGGCTGGAGGCATGCGACTGCCGACCCAGAGCCAGATCAGCTGAGGGGGTGGAGGGACGTGATGGCCAGGAGAGGAGATGGAAGATGGGTCAAATCAAATCAAATCGGAATCGAACACGAAGCCGAGAGCTTTGTCCGAAGATACCGTGCCCCTTGCCCTACAGCATACAGCCTTTTTGTTCAGAGTTTGGATTTTCCCTGACTTTTACATTTTCCTATCTATTGATTTATCTCATTAGAGACCCAGGGCTGTAGCTGGGCAGTCGTTGGCTGGGTCTAAAGGCCGAAACACGGCAGCTCTGCCGCTGAACCTGGGGTCAGTTCATACCCTCTCTCTTGCTCTCTCTCTCTCTCCTCTATTTCTCCCTCTCTTTTCTTTAAGGTGATCTGGAATCAGATGATTAAAGCCAAGTAAAAGTCATTCTGGAGAGGCTGATTGGGGGCACATAGAGAAAGTGCCATCTCCCCACCGTTGGGGCAGCTCCTGAGTGGGACAGGCTGGCGTTTGAGCGGAGAACTGGCTGCCATCAAGCCCGCACATCTAGGAGCCACGCGGCCGCCTCTCTGACACTGCAGAGTGAAGAGGGTGGACACATGGGACCCCCGTCCGTCTAAGGTTCCGGCTGCGGCCGACGAGCATCTGCTGACGTGCTCAGCAGCCGGCAACACCCCGGGGTCTGAGTCGTGGCGGACTGTGAGGCCTGAGGCTTTCCCTGCTGGCTCCGCGATAAAGAATCTGCCCGCAGTGCGGGAGATGCAGGGGACAGGATTCGCTCTCTGGGTCAGCGAGATCCATCCCCCAGAGAAGGAAATGGCAACCCGCTCCAGTACTCTTGCCTGGGAAATCCCACGGACAGAGGAGCCTGGTGGGCTGCAGTCCACGCTGTTGCAAAGACTGAGACACAACTAAGTGACTGACACTTGTGCTTTTTTCACTCTTGCTTTGGCAGATGGATTCTTTACTACTGAGCCACCAGGAAAGCCCCTTCCTTCTGTTTTGAGGGACTACTTTATATTAAAAAAATAACATGAGTTGCATATCTGCTTATATGCCAAGCACTGTCCATGTAACACCTATAGTATTGATTCCGTTTTATAATTGTGGTAACTGAAGTTCAGAGGAAACGGGGGAAACTGATTCACAGTCACAGAGTAAGTGATAGTGATGTTTGGGAAGCAAGATAACTGCAATTATAAATTTCAAAGAAAACCCACCATTTTCTGAGTGACTTTTACATTCCAAGCAGTCATAGAATCAATTCACATTTCATTTAAGGTTCAGAGTAAACATGTTAGGTAGGTAGTATCATTACGTCTTAGTGTAGGAGTTTAAAGCTCACAAAGGTTAAATAATTTGTTCAGGTCACTTTGCTTTAAAGGTCAAAACCAACGCCTGACTTAAAAGCCCTTATTATTATATGACAAGCCTCTCCTCCTCAAATACAGTCTAAACCCTACTCAGCAGAACCCTACCCATAGGCTACCACCTACTTTTCATCGGAACCCTGCTCCCCCGCCCTCTGCCCTCAACTATGCCTTTCTCTTTCCAGCTTAGAGCAGAAATGAAAACCTCCTCATTTGTTCTTGAGGCATGCTGTTTTCCCCATGCCTAAAGAAGCAGAGGATAACAGGATTTAATGTTAGGGATTTTGATTCAAATGCTGAACTAAATCATGCTCCCTTTTGTGTCTGAGAGAAGTTAGCATCTCTGAGCTTCAGTCTGAGATGCGGGCCAGTTACACCTCTTTCAAGGTGTCAGCGACAAGCAAGAGATGGTGGAGGTGAGAGCCCTAACCCTTCCCAGGCAGCTGTCCTCAAAGGGCAGTCTGGGAACCTCCGGGAGCTTCGTGAGACTGTCGTAGGAGTTCTATGACCACAGAACAATTTTCATCATAATATTAAGGCTTTATTTCCCCTCTGCATGGGCTTACAACAGCATTCTCCACAGGCTGCCAGACATGAGACACTATCAGGGAGAATGCAAAAGCAGCTAAGAGACTCTGTCTTCCATTAAGAGCGAAGGAGTTGTCTCCACGTTTTGCTCTGCATTGCAGTTACCTGGTAACCTTCAAAAAATACCGATGTCCGACTCTTAACACAGTCTGATTTAATTGGTCCGTGGTGGTATGTGGTGCATTGGGATTTTTGAAAGTCCCCCTTGAATGTGCAGTCAAATTTAATGGGGATTTGTTTTTCAATGGATATACAGTTACATAAGATGAGTAAGTTTTAGAGATCTGTTGTCCAGCAGAGAATTTATAGTTAATAATATGGTATTGTGCACTTGAAAATAGGCTAAGAGGATAGACCTCAGACTAAGCATTTTCACTAAAAACTAAAACTAAAATCCACAAAAGGACAGAAGGAACACTTTGGAGTGATGGGCAGGCTTAGCGGCTTGGTGATGGTACAGGGCGTATGCACACATTAGATGTGTGCAGTTTTTTGGTGAATAAACTATAACTCAATAAAGCTAAAAATAAAAGAATCTCATGTAACCTAAGAAAAAAGGTTTACAAAACTGTATATCAAGGTTACTCTCCACACTAATTCTTATTTTTTAAAATAGTTATTTTAGTAAAAATATTACCTGTATTAATCTGTAATGATCAGTCAAATATTTTTTCAGAGTGTCAAGGGGTTCTGAGACCAAGGATCTAAAAGATGTCAGTGTATTGGCCTGGAGAGTAAGATTTTGGGCTCTGGAGCTGGATTATCTGTTGATACGTGACTTTGCCATTTCAAACTTTGTGACCTTGGGAACTTGACTTACCCTCTGTATGTTTCAGCGTCATGGGGTCTGCAAAATGAGTATAATAATAAAGCCTGCCTTTTAGAGTTTGTGTGTGTGTGAGGTTAAATAGGCAACACAGCTGAAACCCTCGGCGTGGCGCCTGGAACATTGTGGTGGCTCCTGCCGTTACCTGCCAGTGGCCACAAGCGGCTGACATGGATCAGTGTGGACCGTGGGACCAGCAATGCTGGCAGCCAGCTCACCTTCCCACACAGCAGCGGAGCAGGAGCCGCTAGGTGGGGGCTCTTGGAGAAGTCAGCGGGAGGCACCTCGGACCCAGTTCCCCCTGGCTCTGGTTCATTTCTCAACCAGCCCTGCCTTTCCATCCTTTTGTTCAGTGAACGGACCACCGACAAAGGACCACCGCGATGGTGTGATTTGGGGAGAGGAGGGGACGGTCTTGCAAAGAGGCAGGATGTGTTTTAGCAGCCAAAAGGGTCCCAGAACCCCTCCCCTGCCCTCCTCCCACAAGCAACTCCTTTGAGTCACTCCCCTTTGCTTCCAGGAATTACCGGCCTTAAGAGTCTGTGTTCCTGCTGGCTTTTTCTCACAAGCATAATTTGCCTCTCAGTCACATTTTATATCACGCCTTTATTCTCACAGTTCTTTTTCGTCCCATTCCTCACAGTCACCACACTTGGTGGGTCCCCTCATAATGGAGAAAGACAGGGAAATGAGAAATTCAATGATGCTGAAGGCCATCAACATAACCAAAATTCCCTATAACAGAAGAAAAACATATGAAGGGTTACGGTATTAGCACCGTGATACTCATGTAATAGTAATTTCTGACGCTGATGGGGGCAGCAGTGGTGAGGCCAGAAAGGAGACTTCCATGTCTGAAGTGTGTCTAACACTTAGGAAGCACACTGCTGGAGGCTTGTGAGGAAATGTGGGTGTTTTAACATGGCAGGCACAGCAGAGCCCCGTATAGAACGGCATTATTGTTTTTCTAGAGGAAGTTATGCAAGAGGTAGTTATGCATCTACTTTCTAAATTATATGCTAAATTATATGACTCCACTTCATAAACATGCAATACAGAGAAATATTTTAAAAGTGGCCTGTTGAAAGAGAAAGAAAGAAAGGTTTAAGAAATGAAAAAGGAGCAAAAATAGAAAAGGAAAGAAAAAGAGGGGAAAAAAACCTACAGGCTAAGAAAAAGAGGAACATGCAGAAAAAGACACTTTTTAATGTAACACTAACAGTAATTTCTTGTGTTCACTTTGTTACCACTGAAGACCTTTAAAATATTTTGTATTCTGGCCACTAAGGGTGCCTGGAGGGACACCCACCTGTTAGTAGCCCAGGGACTGGTCACAACTTGTGTTTTGTTAGATTAGTATGGTTGACACTCTGTCCTACAACTGTCTGTGTCTGCATGCTTTGACTAGAGGTTGAAAAATTGTTCTCAAGTCACATACAGCAAGCCACTCTGGTATTCTCGCCTGGAAAATCCCATGGACAGTGGAGCCTGGTGGGCCGCAGTCCATGGGGTCGCCAAGAGTCTGACGTAACTGAGCACAGTAGCTCTTGGTGTAGTTATAATTCTCTTATGCTTTAGTGACTGGAAATAGTTTATTTCTTCTTTCTCCTCTTCTGCTCTTTTCTGCTTTTTTGTTTGCTTGGTTTTTGTCTTTTTCTTTGTGTTTACCATTCTGAAAAATGCTGCCATAAACATCCTTGTGCACATATCCTTATGTATAGGGGACTCTGCTGTGGGGACTGCTTTCTGGGTTAAGGCGTGTGCCCCTTTCATATAAGTGAATGTCTCCTTGCTTCCCAGAATCTTAGGAACATTTCATATTTCTGCTGCCTAAGTACACAAACGCATCCATTTCACCATTTCCTTGCGAGTGATAACTTTTGTAACTCTGGTTTTTGCCAATCGAGTGTATATAAATCCCAGTCCCTTGTTAGTTTACTTGGCATTTCCCTGCTGTGAATTTGAGCATCCCTCTGGGTGTCTTCGGCTGCTACATTTGCATGTTTGTTCCTTCCTCATAAACTTTTGTCTATTTTTTCCATTGTGTTCTTGACTTTTTTGTCACTTTTGTTTTCTTTTTGTGTATAAAAACCTTAGAACATCACTGTTATCTGCTTTAAAAATATCCTTCCAGTTCTTTTACCATTGCAGTTTTAACGTAAATGTGTTTTCTTTGCCCTTTTTTGATTTCTAGATCAGAATCATAACTTCATCACGCAGTAAGTTCTCTAGTGTCCTTTGCTAGTCAATTCCCCTACCCCCTCCAGAGGAAACCACTCCTGATTTTTAACACAGTTGGTTAAATTTGTCTGTTAATTTTGTGTCTGAATTTGTGCAGTATAGCGGATTGCATTTCAGCCCTGTTGCTGCATGCATCAGTATTCCAGTGTTTGAATAGTCACAGTTCGTTGAGCCTCTCTGTTGCCAATAGACATCTGAATTGCTTTAAGTTTTTAATTGCTACGAATAGATTTCCCAAGAACATTGTTGGGTATATTGCTGATATATAAATAGGTCTATGCTTAATTTTGTTAAAGGCTACCAAGTGGTTTTCCAAGGTGGTTGAATTCTAGTTTCTTCATATTCTGGCCAGCACTCGATTTCGCCAGTTCTCTTAAGTCCTCCTGGTGTATGTGCAGTGGTATCTTGTGACTTTAACTTGCGTTTTTTAGTAATTAATAATGTTGGACAGATATATGCTCACTAGCTATTGGTGCCTTTCTTTGTGAAGTGCTTGTGCAAGTCTTACTCTTTTTTTTTTTTTTTCGGTCTTTTTATTGTTGATTTTTGGGAATGCTTATATATTCTGGATGTGGATCCTCTATCAGATACATGTATTGATGAGATTATCTCCCATTCTGTGCCTGGCATTTTCACTTACTTTTTAAAAAAATTGAGATATGTGACATGTAACATTGTATAACTTGAAAGTGTACAGCATGTTGATATAATACATTTATATATTACAGTATAATTACCACCATAGCGTTCATCAGTCAACACTTCCATCACGTCATGTAATTATCTTTTCTTTTTTATGATGAGATCATTTACAATCTAATCTCCTAATGACACCGAAGTATGTGATACAGTAGTGTCAACAGTAACACTATGCCACGTGTTAGGTCTTCAAAACTTATTCGTCTTGTAAATGGAAGTTTAAACCCTTTGACTAAGATCTCCTCAAATCACCCACTGCCCAGCCCTTGGTAACCACCATTCTACTTTGTTCCTATAAATTTGGATTTTTAAGATTCTATATATAAGTGCTATCATACAATATTTATCTTTCAATATCTGACTTATGTCACTTAGCATAATTTCTTCAAGGTCTGTCCATTTTGTTGCAAATGGTACAATTTCTTTTCTATAACTGAATAATGTTCCTGTGTATGTATGTGTGTGTGTGTGCATGTGTATCTCCTATTTTCTTTATCCATTCATCCATCAGTGGACAGTTAGTTTGTTCCCGTGTCTTGGCAATTGTGAATCTTACTGCAGTGAACATGGGGGGTACACATATTTAAGTTAGTGTTGCAGCTTGCTTTGGATAAATACCAGAGTAGATTTGCTAGATCATATTACAGTTCTATTTCTAATTTTTTTACCAGCCTCCATACTGTTTTCCATAGTGATGGCACTAATTTACTTTTCTACTAACAGTACACAAGGGTTCCCTTTTCTTTACATTCTAGCCAACATTTGTTATTTCTTGCCTTTTTAATAATAACCATTCTGACAAGTATGAGATGATATTTCATTGTGGTTTTGATTCGCATTTTCCTGATGATTCATGATGTTGAGCATCTTTTCTTGTATCTATTGGTCTTTTGTATCCTTCATAAAAATTTTGATTCAGACCCTCTGCCCATTTTTTAATTGGATTTATTTTGCTGTTGATTTGTATGGCTTTTAAATTTTATTTTGGATATTAGACTCAGATATATTATTTGCAAATACTTTCTCCTGTTCTGTAGGTTGACTTTTATCTTCTTGATGGTTTCCTTTGCCATGCAGAAGCTTTTTAGGCTGATGTTAGTAGTTCCACCTGTTTACTTTTGCTTTTGTCACCTTTGCTTTCGGTGTCAAATTTAAAAAATCATTGCAAGACCAATGTCAAGGAGCTTACCTCTTATGTTTTCCTCTAGGAGTTTTATGGTTTTAGGTCTCACATTCAAGTCTTTAATCTATTTGAGTTTATTTTTGTGTATGGTGTAAAAGATAGTGGCCTGGTTTTATTCTTTTGCATGTGACTACCCTGGTTTTTCCCAACACCATTTATTGGAGAGATTGTCCTTTCCTCATTTTATATTCTTGACTCCTTTGTCATAAATTGATTGATGTATGGGCTTATTTCTGGGCTCTCTATTCTGTTCCACTGATCCATCTTTCTGTTTTTAGGCCAATACTGTACTGTTTTGATAAATGTAGCTTTGTAATATGTTTTGAAATCAGGACGTGTGATATCTTCTGCTCTTTATTTCTCAAGATTACTTTAGCTATTTGTGGTATATTGTGGTTCGTACAAATTTTTTTTTTTCCTCTATATTTGTGAAAAATGCCATTGGAGTTTTGGTAGGGATTGCATTGGCTTTTGATTGCTTTGGGTAGTATGGACATTTTAACAATGTTAATTCCTTTAATCCATGAGCAGAGGGTATCTTTTCATTTCTTTGTGTCTTCTTTATTTTCTTTATTAAATATCATATTTTTCATTATGCCAATCTTTCACTTCCTTGGTTAAATTTATTCCTGTATATTTTATCTTTTTCAGTGTAATTTCAGATAGGATTGTTTCATTAATTTTTCTTTCTGATAGTTTGTTATTAGTGCTAGAATGCACTTGACTTTTGTTTATTGATAAATACTCCTCCAAAAATTATTAAAACTAATAAACAAATTCCGTGAAGATGCAAGATACAAAATCAGTAAACAGGCACAAGCTTACTCTATAATTTCTGTGGACTGGCACAGGACATAGGACAGCTGAAACAATCCTAGAAAAGAATAAAGTAGAAGGAATCCCTCTCTGTGGCATTAAGGTGCACTGTGTAGCTACAGGGCTTCCCTGGTGGCTCAGGACATAAAGAATCCACCTGCAACGCAGGAGACCTGGTTTGATCCCTGGGTGGGGAAGATCCCTTTGGAGAAGAGAGAGGCTGCCCACTCCAGTATTCTTGCCCGGAGAATTCCACAGACAGAGAAGCCTGGCAGGCTACAGTCCGTGGAGCTCTAGAGTCGGACAGTCGAACTGAGCGACTAACACTTTCACTTTTCACTTTCAAGCATTAAAACATACCAAAGTCTAAAGTTCTTCAAACCTTTACCCTCTTCTCTGGTGAAGCTAAAGTGTTAGTCGCTCAGTCGTGTCTGACTGTTTGCGACCCCATGAACTGTAGCCCACCAGACTCCTCTGTCCATGGAATTCTCCAGGCAAGAGTACTGGAGTGGGTAGCCATCCCCTTTTCCAGGGGATCTTCCCCACCAGGGACTGAACCCAGGTCTCCTGCACTGGAGGCAGAGTCTTTACTTCCTGAGCCACCAGGGAAACCTGTAGAACTAAAGCCGGCAGCAGACACAAACGGCAGAAGTACGGTTTGCTCCCATTTCTGCTTGTATGTTAATGTTGTCTGGTATTTTAAATTAATTCCAGTGTATATTATTATTATTATTACTGCATTAAACAAGCAGTATTCACCTGTGTGTGTCCACATGCTTATTCTATCCTTTGTTCTTTGTTTTTGTTGCATCTTACTGTGTTATCATTTTCCCTCTATTTGGAATTGATCTTTTGTTATTCTTTTAATGGGGGGTGTACAGGAGGCAAACTCAACATTTGTATCTCTAAAAATTCTTTATTTCACCTTCATGTAAGATGTTTTGATGGATAATGATAGATTATAGGTTGGCAGTTATTTTATTCAGCATATTGAAGATATTGTTCTGTTGTCTTCTTTTATTGATGCTTTTGGAAAGTTAGCTGTCCATTCAGTTGCTTCTACTTTTTCCTTTTTGTAATTTTCAGAATCTTTATTTATTTATTTTAGTTTTAGTTATGATTGCTGAGAATTGAGAACTGAAAAGAAAACTTGATTTGGAAAAATAACTTAGCAAATAGTTAAAGTGCACCACAGTCTGGTGTGAAAGACTACTGTCTAAATTCAAGATTTTAACCTAAGGCTTTTCAGAGCCTTATTATTTTACTCAAGATAAACCCATGGAGAACTGTTTTAATGGTAATTTTATGTTAGTTCATGTTTTCCCAAAATAAGATTGTCATCTGTCCCTGCAACTCTTCTGCTTTGCAAGTCTGCTTCCTGTCCTGTCCCTAAAACCGCCTCACGGCTGACTCCAGCTGATGAAACCCTGTTGACACCCTTTTCTGTTTTCGCCTGTTGAGTCTGAGACTCTGTGCTCTCCTCTGCTTAACAAATGCAGCAAATTAAGCTTTTAATTGTCATGGATCTTGCTGGTACTCTTTGAAGGTGCCAGGCCAGACCCCTCCCCATTACGGTCCTGTGACCCATCTGGCTGCTAGTCCCTGGGCTCCCGTGGGCTTCATGTCCAGGCTTTGACCGTCCTTGCTGGCGCGGTAAGTGTAGCTCTTTTTGTCGATCAGGGTCTATGTGTCTGTCCAGGACGCTGGTCTCCCAGGGTCCTTTTTCATTCTCTCTCCAGATTCGTTCTTGTTTTCTTTTTTCTCGGTGAAGGTCTGCCCAAGCTTTGCCACGAGCCATCCTGTCCGCCCATCTGCCTTCTATCTGTGTTTCTCTGCGTGTGTAAGAATAGGTCACAGGGCAGGACTCATCTCAGGCTTTGTCATTCTTATCCAGCCACAGAGACTAATGAGTAGAAGATCTCTGAGCAATATCCCTTCTAGAAACAACTATCTTGGATTCCTCCTTAAAATATTAGAAGATTTTTTTTTTAGTTTTATTTATGTATAAGAAATTTGCTGTGGGAGAGGTTCTTTTTGACAAATTCCACCTGTCAGAGGCGGCTGATTCCTTATGTCAGCAGGGAGGGGTGGATTTTCCAAGGCTGTCACTATTCCTCAACCTTCTTACCTCCCGGTTAATCATTGACTGAGTCTTTAGAAATTAACTGTGTTATATTTCAATCAATATTTCAATGGATTTGACTCCCATTCTGAGAACATGGATGATATAATACATTTGTCAGTTTTTCCCTCTGATATAGACTACTTTCCCTTGACAGCTATTTATCATTCTTTGCCACCTTAGGCAGGAGCTTGATTATTTCAGAAACTTCATCAGAGTAAGAATACACTTGAGCCTTGCTCGGTAAGACCTTACTGACACCACCACCACCACCCCCCACACCGTTCCTGACCTCAGGCTCTACCCGTCTAGCATTCTTCCGGAAGTAAATGGTCCGAAAGACAGGACGGCTCGCAGACGGGGTACGAGTGCCTCAGAATTACCGGGCAAACTGCTTCCGCTCAAGACGATGGAAACAAAACTACCCCCCGCCCCGCCCGGCTCAGAGCGACAGACACCGTTGGTGGTGATGTGCTCATCTTCTTGGTCCTTTCCTCCCCTCTGTGCTAGTTCAGAGTTCTGGATTATTGGTAGACAGTCCTACACACATGGACCACCAAGATAATCTCCTTTGAAAATCATTATTGGCACATTTCTTCATTCACTAATGCCAACAATGAGAGACAAACTCCTAAAAAGACACAAACTACTGAAATTAACCCAAGAAGAGCTAGAACATCTGAATATATCTATAACAAGTAATTACATAACTTCTACAAAGAAAAGCCCAAGGCCAGGAGACTTTGTTGGTGAATTCTTCCAAATGTTTACTGACAATACCATTGCTTCACACATTCTCCCCAAAAATATAAGAGCACAGAATATTTCCCAGCTCATTCTGTAAGGCCAGTTTTAACCAGACACAGAATCAAAGGCATCACCAAAAAAGGACAACTATAGACCAATATCTCTTATAAATACAGATGCAAAAATTTTTTAACGAGATACTAGGAAACTGAATCCAACAACATTTAAAAAGGATTATGCACAATTACCAAGTGGAATTTGCCTCAAGAATCTAAGGTTTATTTAGGATAAAAAAAAATCAATGCAATATACCATATCAATAGAATAAAGGACAAAAAGCACATGATCATCTCAATAGGTAAATTGAGAAAAAGCATGTAACTAATTTATCACCCATTATAAAAATATTCAACACAGTAGAAAGAGGAAAGAATGTCCTCAACCAGAAAAAAGTTCTCAGCCAATGTTCTACTTAAGGGTGAAAGACTAGATGTTTTCTCCCAAAGTACAGGAGGAAAATAGGATGTCTGTCTGCTCTCGCAGCTTCAGTTCAACATTGTGCTGGATGTCCTAGCCAGGGCGGCTGAACAGAAAAAGAAAGAAAAGCATCCATATTAGAAGAGAAGGAAAACTATCTGGATTTGCATACGATGACACACCCTTCTGGCAGAAAGTGAAGAAGAACTAAAGAGCCTCTTGATGAAAGTGAAAGAGGAGAGTAAAAAGTTGGCTTAAAGCACAACATTCAGAAAACTAAGATCATGGCATCTGGTCCCATCACTTCACGGCAAATAGATGGGGAAACGGTGGCTGACTTTACTTTTCTGGGCTCCAAAATCACTGCAGATGGTGATTGCAGCCATGAAATTAAAAGATACTTACTCCTTGGAAGGAAAGTCATGACCAACCTAGACAGCATATTAAAAAGCAGAGACACTACTTTGCCAACAAAGGTCCATCTAGTCAAGGCTATGGTTTTTCCAGTGGTCATGTATGGATGTGAGAGTTGGACTATAAAGAAAGCTGAGCGCCAAAGAATTGATGCTTTTGAACTGTGGTGTTGGAGAAGACTCTCGAGAGTCCCTTGGACTGCAAGGAGATCCAACCAGTACTTCCTAAAGGAAACCAGTCCTGAATATTCATTGGAAGGACTGATGCTGAAGCTGAAACTCCAATACTTTGGCCACCTGATGCAAAGAGCTGACTCATTGGAAAAGACCCTGATGCTGGAAAAGATTGAGGGCAGGAGGAGAAGGGGATGACAGAGGATGAGATGGTTGGATGGCATCACCGACTCAATGGACATGGGTCTGGGTGGACTCCGGGAGTTGGTGATGGACAAGGAGGCCTGGGGTGCTGAGGTTCATGGGGTCGCAAAGAATCGGACACGACTGAGTGACTGAACTGAACTGAACTGATGTTCTTGTATATAAAATATCCCAAGGAATCCTCTAAGAACTATTATAAATAATAAGTTAGAGTGAGAGTAGATAGTCTACTAATATAAAGATCAACTGTATTTCCACACGGTACCAATGAATATTACAAAGATAGAATTTAGAAAGCAATTCCATTTGTGCATGTATGTGTGCTAAATCACTTCAGTCATGTCCAGCTCTTTGTGATCCATGGGCTATGACCTGCCAGGCTCCTCTGCCCATGGAATTCTCCAGGCAAGAATATGAGACTGGGTTGCCATGCCCTCCTCCAGGGGACCTTCCTGACCCAGAGGTTGAACTCATGTCTCTTAAGTCTCCTTCATTGGCAGGTAGGTTCTTTTCCACTTGTGCCACCTGGGAAACCCTAATTTTGTAATAGCATAAAAAAAGAATAAGATAGGAATAAATTTAACAAAAGAAGTGTAGGCTTGTATACTGAAAACTGTAAGACATTGACAAAGAAATTAAAGAACTAATCAAATGAAGAGGTTCATGGATCAGAAAACTTTGTATATTAAGATGTCAGTACTGGTCTACAGATTCAATGTAGTACCTATAAAAATTCCAATTGGCTTTTCTTTTCCCAAAAATTGACTGGATGAGCCTAAATTCGTGTGGAAATGCAGAGGCCCATAGCATCTAGAACAATTCAGAAAAAGAAAAACAAGCTTGAGAATTTGCACTTCCCCTTTTTAGAACTCATTACAAAACTGCCATAATCAAGACGCAGTGCTTTTCTGTTGGTGAGAATGTAAATTGTTGCATCCACTACGGAAAACAGTATGAACGTTCCTTAAGAAACTAAAACCAGAGTTACCATGTGATCCAGGGATCCCAGTCCTGGGCGTATTAACCAATAAAAGTGAAGTTCAAGAAGGCACCCTGGTGTTCACTGCAGCACTGTTTCCAATAGGCAAGACACAGAAGCTCTTTAAATGTCCATAAACAGATGAATGGATAAAGATGTTTTATACATGTATATAAGGGCGTGCACGCTCAGTTATGCCTGGCTCTTCGGGATCCCATGGACTGTAACACTCCGCGCTTCTCTGTTCATGGGACTTTTCAGGCAGGAATACTGGAGTGGGTTGCTGTTTCCTCCTTCAGAGATCAAACCCATATCTCCTGCACTGGCAGGCGCCTGCCAATGCAGGAAATGCAGGAAACGTGGGTTTGACTCCTGGGTCAGGAAGATCCCTGGAGAAGGAAATAACGACCCACTTCAGTATTCTTGCCTGGGAAATCACATGGACAGAGGAGCCTGGCAGACTACAGCCCATGGGATCACAGAAGAGCTGAATATGACTTGGTGATGAAGCAACAATTATATATATATATTCAAAATCCTAAAAGATCATGCTCTTAAAGTGTTGCATTCAATATGCCAGCAAATTTGGAAAACTCAGCAGTTGTCAGAGGACTGGAAAAGGTCAGTTTTCATTCCAATCCCAAAGAAGGTTCAAACTGCCACACAACTGCGCTCATTTCACATACTAGCAAGGTAGAGTTCAAAATCCTTCATGTTCGGCTTCAACAGTGTGTGAACCGAGAACTTCCATGTGTACATTAGAAAAGGCAGAGAACCAGAGGTCAAAGTGCCAGCATCTGTTGAATCATAGAAAAAGCAAGGGAATTACAGCAAGACATCTACTTCTGCTTCTCTGACGAGTGTGGGGAGAGAGCCAATTAGCCAGGAGGACTCTCTCACCCCACATTCCGTAAGTAATAGTGATGTAGCAGCTGAGATCACTGGCAGCCCGGCCCACGCGAGCTGTGACGGACCCGCTTGGCCGCGAGCTACCTGGTGCTCTAGGGATGCGCGGGCTCCGCCTGCAGAGCAGCGGCGTGGCTGTGTCACGGCTGCATCCGTCGGTCAGCCAGCCACGAGAGGAGGGCTGCAGCGGCAGCCAGGAGAGAACAAATGTGTCTGCAGGTCCCACGGCCCCTGGCGTCTTCTTCCAGCCTCTTAGCTCATGCTTTGCCTACCCTGGGTTCAGCCAACAGTGCGGACAGCATGAACAGCAAGGCTGTTGGTGTCACGAACAGGATCAGCAGTACAACTATACTAAAGCCTTTGACTGTGTGGCACAGCAAACTAGAAAATTCTTAAAGAGATGGGACTGTCAGATCACCTTACCTGCCTCCTGAGAAACCTGTATGCAGGTCAAAAAACAACAGTTAGAACCGGACATAGAACAATGGACTGGTTCAAAATCGGGAAAGGAGTTCATCAAGGCTGTATATTGTCACCCTGCTTATTTAATGTACTTGCATGAGAAATGCTGGGCTGGATGAATCCTAAGCTGAAATCAAGATTGCCAGGAGAAATATCAACAACCTCAGACATGCAGGTGATATCATCTTAATGGCAGAAAGCAAAGAGGAACTAACGAACCTCTTGATGAAGGTGAAAAAAGAAAGTGAAAAAGCTGGCTTAAAACTCAACATTCATAAAATGAAGATCATGGCATCTGGCCCCAGCACTTCATGGCAAATAAGTGGGCAAAAAATGGAAAGAGTGGCAGATTTTATTTTCTTGGGCTCCAAAATCACTGTGGACAGTGACTGTAGCCATGACATTAGAAGATGCTTGCTTCTTGGAAGAAGAGCTATGAGAAACCTAGACAGCGTATTAAAAAGCAGAGACATCACTTTGCAGATAAGGTCCATAAAGTCAAAGCTCTGGTTTTCCTAGTAGTCATGTACAAATGTGAGAGTTAGACCATAAAGAAGGCTGAGCGTCGAAGAATTGATGCTTTTGAGCTGTGATGTTGGAGAAGACTCTTGAGAGTCCCTTGGACTGCAAGGAGATCCAACCAGTCCATCCTAAAGAAAATCAACCATGAATATTCATTGGAAGGACTGATGCTGAGGCTGAAACTCCAATACTTTGGCCACCTGATGCGAAGAGCCGACTGCTTGGAAAAACAACATGCCTTGACTAAACAGTGCTGCTATGAATGTTGTGGTACATGTATCTTTCTGAACCATAGTTCTTTACAGATAAATGCCTAGAGTGGGATTGCTGCATCACATGGAAACTCTACTCTTAGTTCTTGAGGAACCTCCACACTGTTTCCATAGTTGTTGGTGTTTAGTCACTAAGTTGTGTCTCTTATGCCACTCCATGGGTTGTAGCCTCTCAGACTCCTCCGTCCACGGGATTCCTCAGGCAAGAACACTGGAGTGGGTTGCCATTTCCTTCTCCAGGGGACCTTCCCGACGCAGGGATCAAACCTGCGTCTCTTGTGTCTCTTGCGTCTCTTGCTTTGGAGGCGGATTCCTTACCTTTGAGCCACCAGGTTTTCCATAGTGGCTACACCAGTTTACATTCCTGCCAACAGTGCCGGAGCCACCCAGTTTATTTTAACCAAAGGTTCACGTCCTGGTTGGGGTGGAGGGTGGGAGGAGGTTGTCAGGGGGTCGGGTGTAGGGCCACAGTCTCTCAAGGAGCTTTCTTTCTTCCTTCACTCGGTTCAGTAAATTCTCTCTGCTGTTATGGGCCAGAGGGTTTTGTATGTCTTTTTGCCCTTACCTGAAGAGTACAGTAATCTATCAAGGACCCAGATCCTTAATCTCAATGTGGAGATCTTTCCTAAGTCTTCCTCCTGGGAGTGGACTCTGGGCCATGGCCTCTTTCTCCTGCCCTACGCTTAGGCTGGGAACCAGATTCCATCTAGACAACATTGGCAGATGGCCTTGAGGAGAAGCAGCCGTGTTGGTCTTTGGCATCTCGCTGATAGGTTTTTAGATTTTGGGCTTTTGTGTAAAAATTGATCTAGGAGCTCCAGTTGACTCTTCAGCTCTTCCGTGTTTTTGAAGTGGTTTTTTTTTTTTTTTAACGTAGCATTTTTCTTTGTTTTCCGAGGAGGCTTGATTCAAATAGCTCAATTAACAATGACCAGAACCAGCCTCTCTATTTTCTTCTCTTTTGCCTTGATTTCTGTGGCCCTCGTACATACAGACACGCCGTGTTTCTTAGAATGTGCCACATGAAATATTCTACTTTTATTAGGATCTCCCTTTTCCAGCTTTCTCAGCAATTTTGTGGTCTCACTACTTTTTTCTCCATGTAGATTCATATTTTTTTTTCCATTTCTTTACACTAACTTCAGTGGTATTTTGGAAAGAGCAGAAATAAATGCCTGTTTTCTATCTACCATGTTTTAGCAAAAATCCAGTCTAAGTGTTAAAACCAATACCATAAAAATATTCCATATGTGACTATATGTACATCTAGGACTGAACTATTCCCATATTGCTATATGTGCACTTTTAATATATCACTTTATCTTTTGGATTATATTTACTGGGCATGTTTCATCTCCTTATCTGTGAACTCCTAAAGGTGGGGGTTATAATGTGTTCATTTCTCCATTTTACAGTGCCTGACGTAACAGTCTATCAGATACTGTGATTTCGGTAAGATGTTTGTGAACAAAAAAAATAGCCGTGTCTGCAGTGTTTTTTAGCTGATGCTAATCGGGTGCTCATAAACCTCCCTGAGTAAATCCACTTCTCCTCGCCCTAAAAGTGCAGCAGACTTACGATGAAGAGGGTGGTAACCGCCTGGCACTCACTAGCTTCTCCAGCATAGCCGCAGAAGAAGTCTTGATCTATGAGATAGCCAGTGACGAGGAGACTGATGCCCGCGGCCGCTGCCACGGCGCTCAGCAGGTTCATTACTCGGCTCAGCGCCACCTGGAAGAGAGTGAGAGGGGGCGCGGCAGGGACAGAGCCGTGGGCGGCCCAGCAGGGTGTGAGCACGGCCTCGAGATGCCCCAGGGCGGCCCGCGACCTCAGGCGCCTTCACTCGACCTCTGCGGGCTTCAGGTCCTCGTCCACAGAAAGGAGGGGGTCCAGTGAACTGGCCATAGTCCTTCCACCCCCCCAAAGCCGTACCTAAGCTGCCCCCCATTTAATTGCGGGAAGCAGCACATTGACAAAGGGGGGTTAACAGTTGGGGGGTAGCCACGGTACCTCGCCTTTTGATGCTCTGGTAAAAGTCATGGCCTATTGACATTCTCATTTTATGATTGTTTAATGAAAACCTTGTATTTCTTTGCAATTTTTATTTCCTTCTAAAACTACAAGCCCACAGGAGACATCCTTTGCTGAAAATAATTTATTGGCCTATGAATTAATATCTCATATCCTTGCTTCTTTGGGAAAAGTAAAAATACTCTACTTTATAACTTACTTGTAAATTAAAAGTTTGCATTCATTAACACTGTATTATTTATTTTGATATTCTGCTTACAAACTTGAATTACAGAAAATGGATGATGAAGTTATCGGAACACTGAAACCCCATATGACTGAGTAACATGGGCAGGTCATTTATTAAGCCTCAGTGTCTAAGAATTTAACTAGATGCCCTAGAGATGGCATTAGTGTTTTATGATTCTGTGAAAAAAGAAGCAAACATCACTGCTTGGTGTCAGTACTTGGCACTTTGTGGAATTGTAGTGGCTTAATCATTTTCCAGATTCGTTTTCAAGGCTGGAATGATTTATTTCAAAGTTAAAATTCTTTAGGAAAGGGGATAAATAACTCACCAGAGTTTCTGTGGTTTTTCTTTCCAGTGCAACTAGAAAGGCTCCAGAATTAACAAACTGTTAAAAAGAATACATATCTTAGTGACGGACACATTGAACTGATTTAAAGAATTCTCGTGGCTAACAGACCGCTATCCATTTCTTTTGCATCCCTCCTTCCTGGTTCACAGTGAGAGTGAGAAGGCAGTGAGAAGGGCCAGCACCACCTATGGTCGTCCCCAGTGTATAGTGGGTGAAATCCGGGACTAGAAATTTTGCTTTGGTCCTACCTATTTGAACATGATAAATTTTTTAACCTTACTGGGCTTTTGTTTTCTCATCTGTCTCCCTTTCATAGCTATTGTGGACTCAGCTCTGATACCACGAGAGACTGGTGTCAAATCGGTTTACAGCCAATGAGATTGGATTCCACCATTCTTACAAGAAACCTCCTTCATAACTGTTTGCAGTCCAGTGTGTTCTCTTAGATGAGAACATAGATGGAGTTACAGCTACTACGCTGGAAATTCTGGGAAAATCCTGGTAATTTCCTTGGAGGTGAGTCATGTTATATATTGTTATTGTCTGGTGGAAACTTCCAATCTGATTACAACATATCCATTTTAAGATCCAATCTGATTACAACATATCCATTTTAAAATCCAATCTGATTACAACATTTCCGTTTTAAAATTTCTAGTCACGTGGGCTGGAGCTTCTTCAGCTCTGTCCCTCCACTCTCTGGGCTGGACTCGGCTCTCAGAGGAGAAGACGTCCTCCTGTGCCTTAAGCCTTTGCTCGTGATTCCCCCTTGGTATGCAGCAAGGTAGCGCTGCCCATTAACACCCGACCACCCCCCACTCCTTCCTTCCCACCAGGTTAACCATCCTTCACAGTCAGTCAAGCTGCAGATGTCTCTGGAGAACCTGGCCTCTGCTCTGCAGAGTCAGCTTCTGTGTCCTTTATTATCACGCATCACACCAGACGATAATTGTCCGACACTCTACTCAGCTGCCTGCCAAGGCGGGAGACGCAGGAGACCCAGGTTCGATCCCTGGGCGGGGACGATCCCCTGGAGAAGGAAATGGCAGCCCCACTCCAGTGTTCTTGCCTGGAGACTCCCATGGACAGAGGAGCCTGGCGGGCTACAGTCCTTGGGATCGCAGAGAGTGGGACACGACCGAGTGACTGACACTCACTACTCAGCTGAGACCTTGAGACCAGGGACTGCCTTTTTCAGAATCCCCACACGCTGCCGGCTTTCTGATACTAGAATAGGTGCTAAAATAATGCTTATTGAATGTGATTAAATGCTTCTGTGCAGCTCAAAGGTACATCTGAGAAGTCCTAGCTGCTTCTCCACTTCTCTGAAGAGTAAATTGATCTTTCATCTCTGCTTATTTAAGCACTTTCTGTGCCTCTGTGATGTCATTTATCAACTACTTTGAAACGACCAGTTTGCATGTTTTCTTTCTTGCTAGATGTGAGAGCCCTTTGAAGGGACTCATGCATTATTCTTTTTCTTTGCCCCGCTCCCCCACCCAGTTTTATTGAGATATAATTGAATTATAGCACTGTATAAGTTTAGGGTATACAACTTAATGATTTGACTTATATGTATCATGAAAAGATTACCCCAATAAGTTTAGTTAACATCCACTTATAATCTCGTATAAGTATCAAATAAAGGAAAAGAGAAAGCAAAAAAGAAAATATTTCCTTGTGATGAGAACTCTTAGGATCTACCCTCTTAAAATTTTCCCCGTGAATCATATGGCAGTGTTAACTATGGCCATAATGTTGTGCATTGCCTTTCTAGCATTTATAAATCTCATACTGGAAGTGTGTGCCTTTAGAGCAGATTCGTTCAGCTCCCTGCTCTCCTCTGCCCATCCCTTGATCTCTTTCCTGGAGTCCACATATAAGTAGGATCATCTGGTGCCTGTCTTTCTCTGTCTGACATTTCAATTGGCATAATGCCCTCAGAGTTCATTCGTGTTGTCACAAGTGGCAAAATATCCTCATTTTCTTAGGAACAAGACTGAGTGATGTTTCATTGTGTGTGGTATGCCACAGCTTCTTCATTTGCCCATTGATGGACATTTAGGTTGTACCCATGACTTGCCTGTTGTAATCATTGCTGCTATGAACATAGAAGTGCAGATGTGCTTTTGACCAAGTGTTTTTATTTCCTTTGGGTATATTCCTAGAGGTGGAATTTCAGGGCCATAAATCTATTTTTAATAATTTTTTGTGAAACCTCTATGCTGTTCTCCATAGTGAAAGTGAAGTTGCTTAGTCATGCCCAACTTTTTGCGACCCTGTGGACTGTAGCCTGCCAGGCTCCTCTGTCCATGGGATTTCCCGGCAAGAATACTGGAGTGGGTTGCATTTCCTTCTCCAGGGCATCTTCCCTACCCAGGGATCAAAGCGGGCTCTCCCGACGCTTTACCGTCTGGGCCACCAGGGAACCAGTGCTGTTTTCCAGAGTGAGGGCCCTTATATCAGTAATCTCTGGGTCCTAACTGCCTTCCTCTGTGTATCTGACACGCGCTGCGCTCAGTCGTGTCCGACGCTGCGACCTCAGGGTCTGTAGCCCACCAGGCTCCTCTGTCCATGGGATTTCCCGGCAAGAATACTGGAGTGGGTTGCATTTCCTTCTCCAGGGGTCTTCCATATCTGACGTACAATAGTAATTCATTTTGAATGGATGAATGGACAAATAATGTCAACACCCAAGCAAATATTCCCAAAGGAACCTCAAGACCCAATGATGGAATATAAGTAACTGATGAATTAATGGGGAAATCATTTCAACAGAGTTGAATTTTATTTTAATTTTTCAAACCATATCATACAACTCAGTGTAGCTCATTTCATTACTAAGAATTCCTTAATATCCCTGTTGGCATGACTTCAGATTGAATTTGACTGACTTATACTCACCAAAATGGAGCTCCAGAATGGATATCCTGAAATAAATATAAAGGGAAACCTTGGGTATGGATCTTCCAAGGTGAAAAGGAGAACAATTCCAAAAGAAAAGTTCATCACTCCTAACAGGATCTGGACAGCCTGCAAACAGAGAACATCCTGGTGAGAAGAAATCAGAGCAGTGGGTTTCCTGTTTGAAAATTTAGAAGATCACCTTCTGCTTAGAAGGATTTGGCAATCATCCCCATTTATAAATAAGGGAAGTATAGTAGAGCTTCTTTATGATGACAGTAGAAGCTTCTACAGATATTTTCTTGATCCCTCTGTCTAATGATTGATGAGAGAGAGGTAAAATGATCTAATTCACTGCTCCTGAAAATGTAGTCCATGGATTGGTAACATTAGGATCACCTGGGAATTAGAAATACAGACTCTCAGGTCATATCCTGTACTTACTAAAAAGACTCTCCAGATGAGACTGAGAAGTCTATGTCTTAAATTCTCCAAGCATCAGGGAAATGCAAATAAAGACCACAAATAGATATCACTTCACACCTATTAGGATGGAGGTTATAAAAAAGACAAGGGAACAAATGCTAGAGAGGATGTTGAGAAAAGGGAACACTTGTACACTATTGGTGGGAATGGAGACAGTATGGAGATTTCTCAAAAAGTGAAAAATAGTGCTGCTGTGTGATCCGGAAATTCCATTTCTGGGTATACATCCAGAGGAAATGCAGCACTATCTCGAAGAGTTATCTATACTCTCAAGTTAACTGCAACATTATTCACAGTAGGCAAGACAGAGAAACAGCCTAAAGGTTCATTGGCAGATGGGTGGATAAAGACACACACACACACACACATGCACAGGAATATTATTCAATCACAAAAGGAAATCCTGCTGTTTACAACAACGTGGATGGATCTTGTGGGCATTATGCTGTGAAGTAAGTCAAAAGAAAAGGCAAATACCATATTATGTCCTTTATAAGCTGAATCTAAAAGCTTCAAACTCAGGACTTCCCTGGTGGCTCCATGGTAAAGAATCCACCTGCCAATGAAGGAGACGCAGGTTCGATCCCAGGTCCGGGAAGATCCCACATGCCGAGGACGAACTAAGCCCGTGCGCTACAACTATTGATTCTGTGCTCTAGAGCTGGGAAGCCACAGCTTCTGAACCCTGCTCGCCACGACTGCAGAGCGGCCCCTGCTCGCCACGACTGCGGGGCGGCCCCTGCTCGCCACAGCTCGAGAAAAGCCCGCACAGCAGTGACGACCCAGCGCAGCCAGAAATAAATGAAACTATTATAAAAAAAGAAACATCAAACTCACAGGAACGGAGAGTAGGACGGTGATTGCTAGGGACTGGGGGGCAGGGGAAGTGGAGAGATGTTTGTCAAAGGGAACAAATGTTTGGTTTTAAGTTCTGGGGATCGAGGGTCCAGCATAGTGACGGTGGTTAGCAAGACAGCATTGTGGACTTAAAAGTTGCTAGGAGAGCCAAGCTTTGATGTTCTCAGCACAACTCCCGCAATAAAAACAGCAATTGCATGAGGTGAAGCAGTGATAACTAACCTTACTGTATAAACATTTTGCAATATATATGTGTATCAGATCATCACATCATACACCTTAAATTTACACAATGTTATATGTCAATTATGTCTCAGTAAACCTGGGGGAGAAACCTCAAAGTCTTTGTCATATACGTGGTAGAGTTTGAAAAACACTAAATTCTAGATCACTATAGCACAGGGATCTTAGCTGCTCTGTGATGACCTCCGTGAGTGGAAAAGGAGGAAGACTCAAGAGGGACGGGATAAATGTGCACATACGGCTGATTCATGATGTTATGCTGCACGGCAGAAATTAGCACATCATTGTAAAGCAGTTGCGCATGTGTGCTTAGTCACTCAGTTGTGTCTGACTATTTGTGACCCTATGGACTGTAGCCCACTAGGTTCCTCTGTCCACGGGATTTTCCAGGCAAGAATACTGGAGTAAAATGCCATTTCCTGCTCCAGGAGATCAAACCCGCGCCCCATGTCTCCTGCATTGGCAGGCAGATTCTTTACCACTGAGTCACCTGGGAAGCTAATTATACTCCAATAAAAAAATAATAAATCACCATACCAGCCTGGCCTCAAGTAGTGGAGAGTCAGAAAACCCTTCTGCTGATGACCAGTCCTCTGAGCCTGTGGAGGTACCATCATCTCCCGGGGCCCAGAGCACCCCCTATCTTTTCTACATTTTTCTGTTTTTTTTCCTCTGCACCACGTTTGTGATGCCCTACAACATCAAGTAGTGTTTTGGTTGATGAGAATGATGCAATGGTTACAAGGTATACAGTATATGAGTCTGCGTCTTCTGTCTTCATTTTCCCAGTCCACCTTCTCAAACACTAAGCTCCTTACTTCCATAGCAACTACTGTTTGAAAAGGTACATTGTAAATGGTGCCATCCTCACCTCCAGACTCACATGTTTGGCTCTCGTCAAACACCACCACTGGAGTGTCCCACTACCACCTTGCGTTGCATATGCCAGAACCAAGTTCCCTTTTCTCCCTTTAAAGCTCGTCTTCTTTCTGCCCTCTCTTTCTTTGCTTTTAGCATCATCTTTTTCTGAGGCTTAGTCTTAAGGCCATCTTCTGCTCTTTGAATGTCCTTTGACCCCCTGCAATCAGAAAGTAACCAAGCTTTCCTCTTCCCTCTGTCCTCGAAGGCTTTTGCTCTTTCCTTTTCTTCTGTCATAACCAGTGTTGGGGCACCTGTTCCACGCACCCTGAGTTCCTCCCATGTGTGTGCCTATGTGCGCATGTCCTCGGCCTTTCTCCATCTGCGGTTGGGAAGTTTATCCCCTTCTGTCTTCCTTCCTTGCCGTGAGGTCTTCCAGCAGACACACACCCTCTTCTGCGTAAGGCCTACATGTTCCCGGGCAGTTACTGCTCCTGCCGTGGGAAAGCTTGATACTTGGGGAGCAAGTTCAGCTCACTGGCTGCCCATTCGTCTAAACTATTAAAGTTGTTTGCTCACTAGTCTTTCTGCACCATCATCCATTTTCCTTGTTTAACAGTGTAAAAGAGAAGCCCAATCCCATTACTTTTTTTCAGTATTATTTGAAACATAGTGGTCATCAAATTCATTCAGAGAAGTGTTGAAAATGGTCTCCGGCCCCCACCCCCTCAATGGGTCGGGAAGATCCCCTGGAGAAGGAAATGGCACCCCACTCCAGTGCTCTTGCCTGGAGAATCCCGTGGATGGAGGAGCCTGGTGGGCTACAGTCCACAGGGTCGCAAAGAGTCGGACACGACTGAGCAACTTCACTCACTCACTCAGTTCTAGAACAAGGTCTGGAGACTTGGTATGTATTTTATAAAGCTCCTTAGGTTATTTTATTGATTTTACAGACTGAAAAATATTAATACTTATCTATGTTATAAAATCTGAGTAAGGATGGTTTATAGGGTTCCTGGAAATTAGGTCTCCAAATTACTTTCCTGGTTACTTCTCCTTACCACCTAGTATTTTTTTTTATATATTTTTTTAACACCATGGTAAAGTGTACATATAAAATTTACCATACTTACCATTTTATTTAGAATAGTAAGCTTTATTTTTAAAACTAGTTTTAGAATCACAGAAAAATTGAGTGGAAAATGCAGAGAGTTTCCATATATCACCCTATCCCTTTCCTTCACCTCCTACCCAAATACCAACATCTCCCACCAGATGGTGCTTTTGTTAAAACTGATGAACCAGCATGGACACATGATTGTCAACCAGAGATCATAGTTGACACTGGGCTTCACTCTTTGTGTTGTGTTCCAGGGCTTTGGGGAAATGTATAACGTCACGTCTCCACCCTTATGCTATTGTACAAAACAGCTTTTCCTGCCCTAAAAATCCTCCGTCTCCACCTCTTCGTCCTCCCCTCCCTTCCTCGTTTCCCGGCACCACTGACGGATTCGTCGCTGGAGCTTCGCTTTTCCAGAGCGCCGTACAGCTGGCACCACGTGATAGTAGGTGGCCTCTGCAAGCCGGCCTCCTGGGCTCAGCAGCGTGTGTTCTGGGTCCTCCCTGCCCCCGTGGCCCGAGGCTCGTTGCTGCGTGCTGCTGAGCAAAGTTCCACTGTGCGGATGCACCACGCTTCACTTATCCATCCTGCTTGTCTCTGTTTGTCCTTCTCTATCCTCTCAATCCTTTAAGCCGAGCTTTTTTCTCCCAGCTCTCCTTTGCCATTCACAATAGCTGTGCCACCATGAACTTTTGTCCATTGTGCTTTCTTCATCTAGAATATTCTACCTCCCTCCTCTCTGCTTTCTAAAATTGCATCACTTCTTCTGTGTTCAGATTTGCCATGATGTTGTCTCATCCCCTTAGCTGGAAGTGACTGTTTCCCCTCTGGGTTCTCCTGCCTCACACCAACACCATTTATGACTTTTAGTAAATGCTACATTGGAATGTAGTTATTAACATTTTCATTCTATTAGTTTTAAATTATTTATTTTCTCTCCTCAGTGAAACAACTGAGATTGTGTTTCTTTTTATAGGCCCTATAATGTTAACCATAGTTTCTTGCGTGTAGTTTAATAACATATATTTCAAAAATAATTTTCATTCTTCAGCAGAACTTTGGGTGTCATTATATCTGAATAGATGCTAAGGCAGTTTAGACTGATGGCCCCATTCCTCATGTCAGTGGACCATATTTATGTACTAATCTCTTTATTTTTCCTGAAAAAAATATTGATTTATTTCTACTTTCTATTCTTAGAGGTCTGGGTATTGAAAGGATATTTTCTAAGATTTGGGCAATATTATAGCTTCAGATGGCTTCCCTAGTGGTTGAGACAGTAAAGAATCTGCCTGCAGTGCAGGAGACCTGGGTTAAATCCCTGGATAGGGAAGATCTCCTGAAGAAGGGAATGGCCACTCCAGTATTCTTTCCCAGAGAATTCCATGGACAGAGGAGCCTGGTGGGCTATAGTCTATGGAGTCACAAAGAGTTGGACACTACTGAGCTACTAACACTTTCACTTTCATAGCCTCAAACATACCTGAATCCCCACATTGTCTGAAAAGAAGATTGCTAAATAATTGATAATTAATGTTGATGAAGTGGATAGATGAAGACTTACAGTATTAAGGAGATTTTCTGCAAAATGTTTCCACATACACAAATACCATATCATTGTTGTCAAACTGAATTTTGATTTTTCATTGGGAAAATATAAAACTGTAGAGCTGAACAACCTGGGGTATAGAATTCAGTCTGTTGACTTCTATTCAATTTTCTCCTTCCTTTCTTTTTTCTGAACTTGACTGGAAAAAAATCATACAGGTAGTCAGTTTGGGGATTTTTACTATGTGACTTTTAAGAGTCCAGGGATCTTGGCTTATTCATTTAATGTTTTACTTTCCATAAAATCTTACACATGATTGATATAGAAGTGATACATATCTCCTGAATTTAATGAACATAAACTTTGCAACTGGCTCCTACCTTGAAACATGGTGTCACCAACCATAAAGAAAACAAAAAGACAATGTAAACAATGGGAGAAAATATTTGCAAATGATGCAGCTAACAAAGGCTTAATTTTCAAAACATACAAATACCTCACACAACTCAACAACAAAAAAACAAACAGCCCAATCAAAAAATGTATAGAATATGAATAGGTATTTCTCCAAAGAAGACATACAGATGGTCAACAGACACGTGAAAAGATGCTCAACATTACTAATTATTAAGAAATGAAAAGCTACAAGGAGGTACCACCTCACACTGGTCCCAATGACCATCATTAAAAATATATGCAAAAATAAATGCTGGAGAGGCTGTGGATAAAAGGAAACCATCCTACACTGTTGATGGGAGTGGAAAACTGGAGGTTCCTTAAAAAACTAAAAATGGTATTGTCATATGACCCAGAAATCCCATTCCTGAGCATATATCCATGCAAAATTATAATTAAAAAAGATACATGCACCGCAGTCTTCATGAAAAGTGAACGTCGCTCAGTCGTGCCCGACTGTGCAACCCAGTGGACTATCCACTCCACGGGAGTCTCCAGGCCAGAGGACCACAGTGGGCAGCCTTTCCCTCCTCCAGGGGATCTTCCCAACCCAGGGATTGAGCCCAGGTCTCCCACACTGCCGGCGGATTCTTTACCAGCTGAGCCACAGGGAAGCCCAAGAATACTGGAATGAGTAGCCCCTCCCTTTTCTAGTGGATCTTCCCAACCCGGGAATCGAACGGTAGTCTCCTGCATCGCATGCAGATTCTTTACTAGCTGAGATATGAGGGAAGCCCTTGCAATGTTCATAGCAGCACTGTTTTCAGTAGGCAAGACATAGAAGCAACCTAAATGTTTTATCAAGAGATAAATAGAGAAGATATGGGTCTTCCCTTGTAGCTCAGTTGGTAAAGAATGTGCCTGCTATGCAGGAGACCTGGGTTCAATCCCTGGGTCAGTAAGATCCCTTGGAGAAGGAAATGGTAACCCACTCCATTATTTTTGCCTGGAGAAGCCCATGGACAGAGGAGCCTGGTGGGCTACAGTCCTTGGGATGTCAAGAGTCAAACATGACTGAGTGACTAAACCACCACCACCATGGTTTATATACACAGTGGAATATTACTTAGCTATAAATGGAATGAAATAATCTCATTTGCAGCAACATTGATGGGTCTAGAGCTTATCACTAAGAGAAGTAAGTCAGAAAGAGAAAGACAAATACCATATGATATCATTTAGATGTGGAATCTAAAAGATGACATAAACGAACTTATCGATGAAACAGAAACAGACTCAGAGACCCAGAGAACAGACTTGTGGTTTCCAGAGGGGAGGGGAGGTGGCGGACAGGGTTGGATTGGGAGTTCAGGGTTCGCAGGTGCGAGCTGTTATATCTAGTGTGAATAGACAACAAGGTCCTACTCTATAGCATAGGAAACCATATTTAGTACCCTGTGATAAATCATAATAGAAAAGAATGTATATATAGCTGAATCACTTTGCTGCACAGCAGAAATTAACACAACTTTGTAAATAAACTACACTTCAATAAAGTAAATTTAATCAACATCATTCTACTATATATATATATATATATTTTTTCCCCCCTTCTCTTCTTACCCACTGTCTTAGTTCAGGCTTCTTTAACAAAGTACCATAGACTGAGTGGCTTACAAACAGCAGAAATTTGTTTCTCATAGTTCTGAAGACCCAAAGTCTGAGGTCAGATTTCCGGCATGGTTGGGTTCTGAAGGAGGTTCTCTGCCAGGTCGCGGAGTGCTGTTGTTGAAAGAAAGCTAGCTAGCTTTCTGGCCTCTCCTCGCAAGGGCTCTAATCCCCCATTCACGCAGGCCCCACCATCGTGAACGAATGACCTCCTGAAAACCCCATGTCCAAATACCGTCGCATTACGATTTCAAATACAAATTTGGGGGCCAGCAAACATTAAGCCTCTAACATACCCTCTGTAGAATTTACACGGAGGAAATCTTACTCACCCCTAAGATTTTCATTCTTGCAGCAAGTAATTTTGGAAAGGGCATGCTAGAGTCATAGGTCGTGCCTGTAACATGCCCGGACTGAAATTCGGGCGTAGTGATGTCTGGAGGAAATACTAGAAACACTGGGCTATGTGCAGCTCTTGAATCCATGATGGTTAGCTTGAGATTTTGAAGTGAAACAAAAAAAAATGATTTAGTTGATGCTTCAGCCTAGATCATGTTCTTCTGTACCAAGGCTGTCTGAAGCACTGCTATTGTTGTGGTTTGTCTTGGAATTATAGAACTGCTGAGTCATAGTCATGGAATCTCAGGACTGGTCAAGATCTCAAGAAGGTTAGTGAATAAAAGGCCCAGATCTGGGGTTCAGAGGATCTGACCAGTAGACCTGAATCAGTCAGGAACTCACTGTGATCTTGGGCAAGCCATAGCCCCCTCTTGGTTTCAGCCTCCTTATCTGTGCACTGATTAGGTTGGACTAAATGGTCTATAAAGACATTTCAATTCCCAAATAAATGAATTTTATGGACATTTATTCTAGTTCTCTATCTTCAGACAGGTAGAAAACAAAACCTCTCAGGCCACAGAATTAATTAGCTACATCTTGAAGCAGACGTCCTGTCTATTTAGCCTGTCACTTTTGTTTTTTGCCAGCTGACTTTATTAGCTTCGGTTCAGTTCAGTTCAGTTGCTTAGTTGTGTCTGACTCTTTGGGACCCCATAGACTGCAATACACTAGGCTTCCTTGTCTATCACCAACTCCCAGAGCTTGCTCAAACTCATGTCCATCAAGTCGGTGATGCCATCCAACCATCTCTTCCTGTTGTCCCCTTCTCCTCCTGCCTTCAATCTTTCCCCCATCAGGGTCTTTTCCAATGAGTCAGCTTTTCGCATCAGGTGGCCAAAGTATTGGAGTTTCAGCTTCATCATCAGTCCTTCCAGTGAATATTCGGGGTTGATTTCCTGTAGGATTGACTGCTTTGATCTCCTTGCAGTCCAAGGGACTCTCAAGAGTCTTCTCCAACACCACAGTTCAAAAGCATCAATTCTTTGGCACTCAGCTCTCTTTATGGTCCAACTCTCACATCTGTACATGACTACTGGAAAAACCATAGTGTTGACTAGACAGACCTTTATTAGCTTAGCTGTGAACAAACCACTTCAAGACTCAGTGGCTTCAAACAGCCACCATTTGATATTGCTCACAGGTCTTTGGGTTCTGTTGGATGATTCTACTGGTCCGGTCCAGCTCAGCTCTTCTCTATCAGGCTTTCTCATGCATCTGCGGTTAGCTAGTGGGGGGACCATAGCTAGATGATTTAGCATGACTTCCGTCACATATCCGGGTGGCTCTTGTTACCACAAGAACCCGCCTGCCAATTCAGGAAACTAAAGAGATGCTGGTGCAATTCCCAGGTTGGGAAGGGCCCCTGGAGGAGGGTATGTCAATCCACCCCAGGATTCTTGCCTGGAGGATCCCTTGAACAGAGAAGCCTGGCAGACTACAGTCCATGGGGTCACAAAGAGTCAGACACAAGTGACTTAGCACACAGGCACGCAGTCACATGTCTGGCAGTTGGTGGCCCCTTGCATCTCAAATGTCTTGCGAAAGTCTCCTGAATCATGTGTGCTCATGTCCCATCGATCACTGGCATCAAAAGGCATGGACGACCCAGATTCAAGGGGTGAAAACGATGGATGGCAGTATCTTCAGAGGAGGAGCTGCTCTCTTAGTGCATGGATGAAGAGGACGGAAGAACTGTGTTTTGTATGCCTTCTGTGTTGGCATCCTCTGTTTAAATCACGTCTGCCTACTTTGAAATTGCTGATGTGGCAGTATCTAGCCATTTGCCAGTTAGAACACCTTAAAAGTTCCTTTCTCTGAATTTACCTTCTTTCATTCAATTTTCCATGGACATAGAATCCTAAAGGTGATCATTCTCTATGAAAATCCTTTGATGCTGAGTTAGTGTTCTCGAAGATAAGCAAACTGTATTCCAGATACTTTATAATGTACCATTTCATCCTTATCACTCAAGTTTTAGCTTTCCTCTGGACCTTTTCCAGTTTCTCTTTCTCCCCCACCCACTTCTCTAAGCATGATGATTGGAACATTGCAGTAATAGCTATCTGACAAATGTGGGAGCTGAGTTTTATTATGCTTTAATTCATGCAAGTTAATTATGGAGATATATTGAGTGGAAAACTCAATCCTTAGAGCATAGAAATTTAGAATTAATTCCAGGCCCTTTCATTTACTAGTTATGGAGTCTTGGCCAAGTGATATATTAACTTACATATCCATATTAACTCACATGTTCATTAAAATATTTCATTCCTTGTTAAAAATGGGAATACTAATTGTTGCCTTGATAACTCAGTTGGTAAAGAATCTGCCTGCAATGCAGGAGACCCTGGTTCAATTCCCGGGTTGGGAAGATCCCTTGGAGAAGGGAAAGGTTCCCCACTCCAGTATTCTGGCCTGGAGAATTCCATGGACTGTATAGTCCGTGGGGTTGCAAAGAATCAGACACAACTGAGCGACTTTCACTTTCAGGATAATTGAGAATGAACTATAAAGCATCTGGCATGTAATGGGTGTTATATAAATTGTAATAAAAACAACAGCAGTAAGTGTTATTTCTGTTGTTATTACCACTTTAATCATGGTGGCCAGATGCTGGGTTTTATGTTACGTTTGCTTTATTTCTGAAGTTAAGTTTGGTTTATTCATCAACTAAATGTCCTATGTGTTTTTATAAGGACATTGGAAATGTCACATGGAATTAGTCTGGAAGTTTTTTGGGTTTTTTTTCCAGTTCTAGTTTAGAACAGTTACTTTTCTGAATGTTTAAAGTTCGATTGTCTTCTTACTTCCAGTATTGCTACTGTAAAGTGCTTTAAAGTGACTCCTCTGTTGGTTTCAATATCTGGGTCGCGTGTAGATTGGTTTGGAGATTGGCTTCTGTGAGGCAGGGCCAGGTTAGGCAGGAGTCGGGCAGAGAGCAAGAGAGCAACCATCTTATACGCTCTGACCGTCCAGGAGGTAATGCAGGCAGAGCTATCGGCGAGTTTGCAGAGAGTTCCAGACTCGAGTCCATCCCACTTGGTAGTAGCCTGTATAGCCTCTTCTTCACCAGGCAATTTCTTGCCCTTGAGATGGCCTGTTCTTTCTGCCCCTGCACCTAGTCTTAGCACTCGCCTCTAAGAATTGCTGTTACTGGCTGTTCAAAAAGGAAGTAGAGAACAAATATTGATAGATCTCTTGAAAATAGAAATGAAAGTCAAAAAGAAAACCTCAGTAGACAGTTTTGATAAGAAGTAGAGAAAATTAACCATAATGCAGAAAAGAAGAGCAAGAAAACAGAAAATAGAAGAAAGAATATAATAAGAAGTCTAATTCAGGAGTTTCAATAGCAGTTACAGAAAGAGAAAAACCAGGGGTATAAAATAATTTAAAAACTTACATTTGAATACTCAGAAATATTGATGAAAATAGACCCATATGACTAAATTTCAGAACAGTTGCTACAAATGAAACACCCTTGAAGATTCCAAGAGGAAAAAAAAGTCAAGTCACATATAAAAGACTAGAAATATTAGTATTGGGATTTTTCAGTAACAATACTGGAAATGAGAAGACAATCAGCCTTTAAAAATTCAGAAGAGTAATTGTTCTAAACTAGAATTTTATACGCAACCAAACCATGCAACTGTTGAGAGGATATAAATTATAACATTTTCAGACAGGCACAATCTCCAAACTTTATCACCCATGTGCTATTTCTGAAAAGGCAGCTGGCATGTTCATTAGTTGTTAGTTATTAAGGAAAATGTAAATTAAACCTACAGTGAGATATAACTACAAATTTAGCTTAATGGTTAAAATAGAAAATTGAGTAATGCCAAACGCTTGTGACGATGCAGAGAAATAGGATCTCTCATACACTGCTGGTGGGAATGTAAAAATGCTGATGGGAATGTAAAAATGTAAAGCCACTCTGGAAAAGAGTTTGGAAGGGTCTTACAAAACTTTACATGTACTTACCATGTAACCCAGAAATTGTACTCTTGTACATTTACCCCAGAGAAATTAAACTGTTTTCACACAGAAATCAGCACATGAATGTTTCTAGCAGCTTTATGCTTAAGAGAAAACTCTATTATAAACAACCCAAATGTCCTTCAGTAGATGAATGGTTAAACAAAATCTGGTACAACCATACAACCACACTTAGAATCCTACTCAGCAATTAAAGAGAATGAACTATGATCAAAGCTAGAGGAGGTGAAGAAATTCAAGCTGAGCTATTTCAAATCCTGAAAGATGATGCTGTGAAAGTGCTGCACTCAATATGTCAGCAAATTTGGAAAACTCAGCAGTGGCCACAGGACTGGAAAAGNTGTTGGAGAAGACTCTTGAGAGTCCCTTGGACTGCAAGGAGATCCAACCAGTCCATCCTAAAGGAAAGAAGTCCTGAATATTCATTGGAAGGACTGGTGCTGAAGCTGAAACTCCAATACTTTGGCCACTTGATGGGAAGAACTGACTCGCTGGAAAAGCCCCTGATGCTGGGAAAGATTGAAGGCGGGAGGAGAAGAGGATGACAGAGGATGAGACGGTTGGATGGCATCCATCTACATGATGGAAGTGAGTTTGAGCAAGCTCTGGGAGTTGCTGATGGACAGGGAGGCCTGGTGTGCTGCAGTCCATGGGGTCGCAGAGTGCTGGACACGACTGAGCGACTGAACTGAACTGAAATACAACTAAACACTCTCACACACACAAATGAATGCAGGATAAAAGATGACAAAAACTGAACAGTTCAAGTAACTGTAGTGTACCAGTGTCAGTTTCCTGGGTTTGATCTTGTGTCTCATCTACCTAAGATGTAACCAGTTGGATGATACAAGTGAAGGGTATGCCACACTCTTATCTTTGCAGCTTCAAAGAATTTTGAATGAGTCTATAATTACTTTAAAATGTAAAAAGAAGAAAAACTTTACAGGGATTGAATTGTAAAAAATGCATGCTGAAGTATAAAATGTAAAGTATGTGTGTGTCTTCATTTTTGTTTCTGTGTTACAAAGTCATCCAGAAAAAACGTCCGTCATAACAGGAAAATCGATAAATACGTTATATATGGAGAAGGGGGGGAAAGTTACTGGAATATGTGATTTTGTTTCTTGTTTTTGCTTTCTTGACAAAGGAGGACAGCAAAAGAGAGAAATGAATGAGATATGAAGTGAAAGAGGGTCATGAAAAAAATGCCAACATGATGACAAAGCAACCCTG